GATTTCACACATGGAAGTTTTTAAATTTCATGCAAATTTTTTGCGGCCTAGCAATTCTTTATATTCTTGTGAACTGTATATAGAAATACATATAATTGTAAGCATATATGTACATATAAATATACATATGTACATACATAAATACATATACTATTTGCAAGAACTACAGAAGTTATCATTAAAATCATAAAATCATATTTTTAAGAATCATATATATATATACATGATACATATGAATATCATTAACAGGTTATGTTACGTTAGACATTTTTTTCTAAAAGAGAAATGTAATTTTTCAACCTAAGATGAGTATTTTAATAATCTTAGCTATTGTCACATCTCACTGTATCACAATTTGAGCCCCAAAGAAGACAATTACCAATGCCACTATAACAAATTAGAAGAACCGCGACAAGAAATACTAAACTACAAACAGTACATGGTTTTCGTTCTAGGAAGAATCCAATTAGGTAAAGTACCATAAACATAACATGCGTCTGTAGCAGTGCTGGATTTGCTGGCTTTGGTAACAGCAGCACTGGAATTAACCACTGTAGGCAATACATCCTCTCTACTTTGTTGTTAAAGACGTATTTACAGCACCATCGAACTAGTTGTCTCATCTGTGACAAAACTTCTGGAAAGATGTACATAAGTTACATTCTCTGGGTTTAATTGTAAATTCACTTTTTACACGCACTATTATTTTCCTTACTTTATTTGGAATACCTTATTTGGAAGCACCATAACGCTCTCGAAATATCTCGTCCTTCAAAATCGAAACAATTCAACTACATGTACCCATGCTAGCACAAATATTTCTACTCTGAATTTTTCCAAATATGAGATCACACAATCCACAAATCAGATAAGAACATACAGATGTGTATTAACAGCAATACAGCGTAGTCTTTCATGAGAACAGCCTTTAAATTGTTTTTGAAAATCGAAAAATTGCTTAAACATTTTGTTTCCTAATTATTTAATGTAATTTTCAGAAAAATGAAACTTCTGTTTCATTAAATTACGTAATATTTGTCTCGTTCATAATTCTTCAAATGAAATTCACATAACAGCAGATTTACTTCATGATGCTAGTTTAAATATCCTTATTGTCTTTTTAAGCGGGAACACTGAATTTTACTAAAGTTTACAGGCATAATCAGCACTTTTAAGGAAATAAATTTAAGTTTTGTAATAGTAATTATTGTCCGATAAAGCAAATTTGAAATTTAAGGCGGGCTTTAGGATCTAGAAGCTGGAGAAGTAGGAGAAATTGTGACGTCTCTTTGTTAATCAGCCAATAGTGGTGATAGAATAACTCTTACGTCTTTGCTGATAGGACGATGGATCGAGAATATCATCGAGAACATCATTAGAAATAAAATATTACGACTTTTACTTTTAACGACGTTTACATTATTAGTAATGTTAAAGCAATTAAGAATTGATTATGAGTATCAATTTAATATAATAGGGATTGCAAGGATAGCAATAGCCAAGAGAGACAAGGAAAGGAATACAGCTAGACAAGGATAGCACTAGAGAAACGAGTTAGACAAGGAAAGAAATGAGGGTAGACAAGGATAGCACTAGAGTAATGAGTTAAACAAGGAAAGCAATAGGGATAGATAAGGACGCCATCTAGCGTTTGGTGACGGGAACTACGATTTTTTAATAGGAACACAGAATATAAACAGAGGTATTAGACAAGGAAAGCACTTGTGTGCGAGAAGGACAGAGAGAAAACGTTTCTTATTGGCTGGCGGGCCGCTGAGCTCCGCCAATCAGGCCCTGTTAATCAAGTCGGTCAGGGAAAAATCATTAATAACTCAATAATTACGATGATTCTGTGAACTTTTAGAATTGAAGAATGTAGTATGAACCTTCAGCAACTTTCTCATATAGTTTTTAAAGCCCTAAGTCCCTTCAATAATTAGTTATTAACAATTTTAGTACGTGACGTCGGGAACGATAGAATATTCCGTGGCAGTCGCTTGCGGTTTTTCATTAATTTCGTTGTTTAATAATAATTTCTTGTACACATTTCGGTATGCATTTGAAAGACAGTATCCTTGGCTACATTCTTCTATAATTTTTAGTAACATATTCGTCGTGGTCTATGAGTTATTAAATATTATATCGGAGAGTCCACCGCTCGTCGTATCCGGGTGCGTTCAACTATCATAAACAACTGCTAATATTTCATAAACTGCGTGACATACGTGTACCAAAATTATCACAGAATGTAAAGGAATGTACGTACTACATTCTTCAATCTTAAGAGTACACAAATTATCCCGCAATTCCATGAAATTCAATTAAATTGACAGAAGAGCGTTACGTTTGAATTCGACGAGTATAGCATCCCCCCGAATAATATTTAATGATTCTCAAACTACGACGAATATGTTACTAAAAATTATAGAAGAATGTAGCCAAGGATACTGTCTTTCAAATGCATACTGAAACGTGTACAGGAAATTATTATTAAACAACGAAATTAATGGAAAACCGCAAGCGACTGTCACGGCATATCGTATCGTTCCTGACGTCACGTACTAAAATTGTTAATAACTAATTATTGAAGGGACTTATGGCTTTAAAAACTATATGAGAAAGTTGCTGAAGGTTCATACTACATTCTTCAATTCTAAAAGTTCACAGAATCATCGTAATTATCGAGTTATTAATGATTTTTCCCTGACCGACTTGATTAGCCTGTGGGAGGCGGAGTATGGCGGCCCGCCAGCCAATAAGAAGCGTTTCTCTCTGTCCTTCTCGCACACTATTGCTTTCCTTGTCTAATACCTCTGTTTATATTCTGTGTTCCTATTAAAAAATCGTAGTTCATGTCACTAAACGCGAGATGGCGTTAGTTTCACTTTTCAAATTTTCTGTCCTTGTCTATCTCTATTGCTTTCCTTGTCTAACTCATTACTCTAGTGCTAGCCTTATCTACCGCTGTTTGTTTTCGTTTCTATTCGGTATTGCTATCCCCGTCATCCCTATTATATTCAATTGATACTTATAATCAATTTTTAATCGGACATCAATGATTAAGGGGACAATACTCACTGTTTAATAGGCATAACGTTGCGTTGTACAGTTCATTAATAAAATATCTTTAATTACGTGTTATAAAGTATTTAATATGTATCGCAATAATCAAAGTAAAATTATGAAAGGCACTTTGACATGTCGACAATTTCCCAAAGGGAATTTAGAAAACATGAATAAATCATCGGAAAATCCAGAGCAAAGTTCCATTAGAAGTACTGCGAAAATTCTTAATTTATTTAAAAAACCTGTTAAATACTGTAATGAAGAAGGACAAAAAGAAGATGTTTCTATTAAGAAACATGAAGATAATGCATTAAATGTTAAAGAAAATTCATTTGTTATTGATAATAGTAATAAAATGTATGTATTACATGAATATCTGATTAATTTTCTTTAATAACAATGTAATTCTTTATTTGTTTAGTATTTTTCATGTAGTAATGGGCAAAAAATCTACAAGAAAACATAAAAAATGGGAAGATGATGGAATTTTGGAAGTTACAGGAAAATATGCAATTTTAAAGGTAATACATACAAGCATTCTGTTATTACATTATTTATAAAATTGTATTTTTTTATTTATATTGGACAGGATACGGAAGGCCATATTATTCATAGAACTACAGTTAAACCAGAAAGTCTTGTAGAAGGTTTTAGAATGTACATGGACAATAAAGAAATTGAGGTAAACATAAATGTACACATATTAATGACTTACATTCAGTGTATAAGATTAATATAAAAATACTTACAGATAATTGATAGAGCAACATCTAAATGCTTGCCCAATGAGTCTTCTCAAAAACCAATTCCAGAACCACCTGCTAAAAAGTTTAAAAGTTCAAGTTCTAAGTCATGTCTTCCTTTGGGATCTCTATACACAGGTATGGTACAATGTATTTAAAACCTAAACTTCATAATATACCAAATATATTAATATTCATTTTATGTTGAAGAGTTGAAATTAAGATGTGATCCATTGGTAATGCCATCTATAAATTTATCAAAAGATTGGGTAGAGAATGGCACATCAGAAAATGAAAAAGAAGTATCTGTAGATACTTGTTTAGTGAATGTACTTCGACCGCATCAGCGTCGTGGTATTGTATTTCTATATAAATGTATCATGGGATTGAACACACCTAATTATTTTGGGGCAATTTTGGCTGATGAAATGGGACTTGGTAAAACATTACAATGCATTGCATTCATATGGACTTTGTTAAAAAAAGGACCATATGGGCATCCAACAGTGAAAAATGTACTAATAGTAACTCCTAGCAGTCTGTGTAACAATTGGAATAAAGAATTTAAGCATTGGTTGGGTTTCCATAGAATATCTCCATATGTTGTGAATGCTAAAAACAAACCAAAAGATTTCAAAAAACAAATAAGAAACTCAGTTATGATTATTAGTTATGATATGCTTATCAGATGTCAAGAAGAAATCGAGCAAATAGTATTTGACTTAATCATATGTGATGAAGGTCATAGATTGAAAAATAATGATATAAAAGTAGCCAAGGTGATAATGCTTAATTTTTATTAACAAAGAAAATACAATATTTAAACATACATTTTTTCAGATTTTAAAGAATTCTAATTGTAAAAGGAAAATTCTGTTGACTGGAACTCCTATGCAAAATGATCTACAAGAATTTTTTTCTTTAATTGATTTTGTAAATCCTGGTATATTGGGCAGTAACCATGAATTCAAAAATTACTACGAAAATCCTATTGTAGCATCACGATGTCCTAATGCATCGTATGATGTTGTATCTCTTGGAACCGAAAGAGCTAGTGAATTGCACGAAAAAACTAAATCTTTTATATTAAGACGTACACAAGAAACAATTAATGAGTATTTACCTTCTAAACATGAATTAATTATATTTTGCCGCTTATCGAATGAACAAGAAAGTTTGTATTCACATGTCACGGACATATGGTTCAACAAAAGTATATTAAATAATAGTGTGCCACATTTAACAATAATAACGACTCTTAAAAAGATTTGTAATCATCCGGAATTATTTTATAACGAAAAAAATGAGTTTTTGCAGAGTGACTTTAAAAATTCAAGTAAAATTTCTAATATAAAGGATGTTTCGAAGAAATCGTATTGTGGAAAAATTTCAGTTGTACAAGCATTAATGAGAAATTTAAGAAAGACAGATGAAAAACTGGTATTAATTTCATATTATACACAAACGCTCGATTTATTAGAAACTGTTTGTAATGCAGAAGGCTTACAGTTTCTTAGATTAGACGGTAGTACATCAAGTAGTGCAAGATCTAAGATTGTAGAACGATTCAATTCAAAATGTGATAACAGCAGTTAGTATATGTAATAAAATGTTTAATTTAATATTTGATTTACACAGTTTTGTAAATGGCAATGCAATTATTACAGAAGTATTTTTATTAAGTGCAAAAGCGGGTGGAGTTGGATTAAATTTACCTGGTGCATCTAGACTTATATTGTTTGATTCAGACTGGAATCCAGCATCTGATTCACAAGCTATGGCAAGAATCTGGAGGGATGGCCAGAAAAAAGATGTCTACATAATACGGTTTGAACACTTCAAATAGTTACTAAATATTAACATACATTATAAATATTCTTATAGTAGTATAACTAAAATTTATAGATTACTAACAACAGGTACTATTGAAGAAAAGATATTTCAAAGACAAATTAACAAAGCAAGCTTAAGTGAAACTGTAGTGAATTTAAATTGCATTGCTTCTCTTAAATTGTCTACGAGTGAATTAAAGGTTCGTTTGTTTACACATGTTTTAAATATTCAATAATTTAAAATAATATTCATTATTAATCATAAAACACTTAGGATTTATTTACATTAACAACAAATACAAATTGTTTAACACATGATCTAATGAAGTGTTCTTGCAATGGCTACAAAGGGGGAGAAGAAATATCAAAAAAATTACACGAAGAAAATAATCGGGAATATCAGTTTTCTTTAGGCGAGAAAACAGAAAAATCAAATTTCACCATAAATCAACTTTTAAAATGGGAACATTATCAACAACCATTTCCGGATAAAATAATTCAAGTAAGCACAATTTAATATTGGATGCTAAGGTTAAGTACTAATATTAATTACTTTCAAATATTTTTTCAG